CAACTATTTATTATCTAATTACTATTAAATGTCAACATGCCATTGTGACACCTGAGCAAGACTCCATGTTGATATATTACGATGTTATACCCACTCCTTATTTATTCTTTTCACCAGCTGGAGTCCAGCTTGGAATGGAAGTTTTAATTTTGTATTCCAGCAAAACAGTTCACATCCCACCATCAACCTGACTTACTCTCATCTTCTCGCAAGTGCTTGAGTAGATGAAGATTTGCCTGCTATTTTCAGTCTGAGTCAGAGAATGCAATTCCTTATTATAATTGCTGACCCAGGAGATTATGACACAAAAATGAAAAAATAGCTAGATCTGATTCAGTCAGCCTTGAACCTGGTCATGCAAAATCAATCAGATTGTCTTTTATATAGCTTAGAAAATGAATGTTTTCAGACTAGCTGCTGAGGTATTCTTGCCAATATTATATCTGTGGTTAATTAAACCTTAATTAAATCCCTACTCCTGTCTGATAAGCCCTACAACAAGTAGGATGGAGGGAAAAACTGCAATCCACTGCAGAGGTCTCACAGGGAATCTAGTCCACCACCAAAACAACAGCACTCCTGAAACAGAACAGTTGTAAATCAGCTGCTATTTAAAATCAAGGACAGAAACATGACCTGATTTTGTTCAGTGTGAAGCCCATCAGCAGGATATGTCCATTCCAACTAAAAGTAGTCAAATAAAGAATCTCAACAACAAACCATTGTGAGTGGGCTAAAATTTTCAAGGCTGTAGGCAGAGAAGCCTTTGAGTCCAGCACAGATGTAGCCCATGCTAATAGACGGTGGGAGGAGATCTCCCTGCTCCATTTCATCTTTCTCTTATTGGAAAAATGGTTATGTACACTTTCTCCATGTACTCAGACTCCCTTTAAACACTACCTCTTGGATCTTGATTTATTTTGTCAAAAATTGCCTTGTGATAGTATCAAAGACGAGCCTCCTGTGTATGGAGTTTACAAAGACAACCATTTAGCATGCAACATAGCCTCTCAGGTGGTAGTTTTAGATGTAACGTGGCAAGATGGTGCCTTGAAGCTTATTGTATTCTTCGTTGGTGCTACACTCTCTTCCCCAAGGCGCAGTTTTCTCTTTCAAGTTTAAAATGCAATGATCAGATTATGAGTATTGTTTCCATCCTTAATTAATTTAATCAGTTTATCATAGGTCTGGATCAGGAGCTGCAGTACTTTCTCTGCTGTGCTTCATTTAGCTATATCTAGTGCAATCTCTGTATTTCCTTGGATGCTAAATAAGCCTGCAGCCAAGAAAATCAAAATCAGTGCAGAGAGTTACTCTCAGGCTCTGTGTTTTCAGATGGTTTGAAACATGCTTTACACCTGCTATTTTCTTCCCCATTTCTCCATCACACTGCACACTGCATGACCCCCTAACCTGGTAGCAGGAAAGCAATGCAATTTAATATTCAGAAAAGTTTCTTATTCTCTGCACAGTTAATATGCTGGCCTTGTACCTGGTTTTGCTATCTTACCTTTCTATTCACCGCTTCTTCCTGTCTAGACTTTCTACAGCATTCCAATGTTTATTTTAATTGAAGTCTTTAGTGTTATTTGAGATATCTTTGGAGGCATACATGTAACTGAGCACCTCTGCAGATGTCTCCAAATGGCAATCTCCAAACAATTCTTCCTAGAAATGTCCAGCTCATCAGTTTTCTTTCAATTCTGCAGGGTAAGTGGAATTCTACTATTGGCAATAAGTTGCTTTATCTATTAACGCTGCTATGACTCAATTTCCCGTGCAAAGAAAGGTAGTTTCCATATGCTGGATGCTATTATACTGTTTCCTAGGATGCTTTTAACAGAAACCCAAAGGTCTTTCAGCAAAAGAAGTCCTGCTGATTGCCTACAGGTAGGGATGAAGGGGCAGATAGCTACAAATTTCAGCTGAAAACAGTGACAGGAACAAAACCGATGTAGAAATTTGCACCCATTTCTTATTCCATATCTGTTGTTTGCTCTTACTTGCTTTTTTTTTTTTTTTTTTTTTTTTTTATACTGAATCTCAAGGGACATAGAAGATATGGGTCGATGCCATGCCCTGATACTCTCCTACATGATGCATGGCTGAGCTGGAGATGGTCAGCTTTTTGATGCTTCGTGGTTAAGAGGTAATCCAGAGTGAGCAAGCCCTGAAAGAAATAAGTAAAGGACAATGCTCCTAAAACTTCCATACTTCACTGGAACAGTAATTCTGCATTAAACTTAATGTTGCGAAACCTCTTCTTTCCTGCTGTACAGGAGAATTGGCCAGTGAATGAAGGAAGATTATGCTGACAGACAGTGTCACCTCATAAACCTCATTGAAGGACTTCTTTGCCTTAACTTCATCAGTAAAATCGAGATAAATAGTGTTGTTGAGAGGAGCTAAGAATTAAGTGCCTACATTCCTCCTAGTCTTTCCACTAAATCCCTGCAAAGAGATTACCTCCCCATACCACACCCCTGTGACAGAAGTGTCTGAAATGACCAAGAATTACGTCAGGGTTCACTGTTGTACACACTGCAGGGAAAGAGGATCACTGTGAATGAGATGCCTCAGAAGCAAAGAAATTACTGGATGAACAAATTAACATTTCTTCAAAAATATGGAAGTTCATGAGCATGAGTGAGGTCTGAAGGCTAATAGGGAGAGTAACTGGAGGTGAAGAGAGAATATAGATCTGGCTGTGACATACACTTGGAGACCTAAATTCCATTTTTTTGGGGGAAAAGCTGTATTCCTAATATGTCTCATGTGTAACTGTCATCTGTTTTTACAGGTAGGTTTGAGTCAGGAGAGGAAGTCATCAAGGGATTAAGTAAGAATCTTGTCAAAACCATGTTCCTCTCAATGTTTGTGTAGCAGTACAAGGACATTTTGTCCAAGTTTCAATTAGCGTAACTCTGTAATAGAACATTTCACCCAAGGATGTCAAAAGAGTTCATAAGATTATCCTTACAGTCTTTCTATGATGTGATCTAGGGAATTAAAGCCAATTAAAAATGTTCCAATGATATTAATTTCTATTGGATTATGTACACTTTGCAGCATTAGAAAGTTTCCTCTTATTTTGTCTCAGGAGCTCAAATTGCTTTCAGAGAGAAAGCTGCCATGTGGTGTGGAGCCAACCTTCAGCATTCACGACATAACCCTTTGCAAAGCTGGAAGTCTAAAATGGCAGCCAAAGGGGAACTGAACAAGACTGCCAAGTCTGAAAGAGTTCTTGGTTGCACAGAAGGAAACCTAGTGACAGAGTCCCCGGGAAAGAGAGTTCACTGTCATTCTGAAAGGCTGAAATAAATCTGCAATTCTCGTTCTATGATGATAGAGTACAACAGTGTTTCTGATGAAAAGCTTTTCTCTGTTCATTCCAGGTTAACCTCCTCCTTTCTTCTCACAATGGGCAAAAGAAAGCATCACCAACATCTTTAACTTTTCCAAAACCTCATGAGAAACAGGGGATATAGCTAGCAATAAAAACTTAATATAAAAAAATAATATCAGCTGAAATTATTTCTTTGATGATGAGAGTACAACCCATGGCACCTTCATTTTTAAAAGGCCACCTTTCTTTTACAATGTGCTAAAAAAAATTCTTTTAGTAAGTAAATAAAATTCATCATTAATGATTCTTGAATTAAATTGCCCTTGGACTAAAAAATGACAATCTTTTCCACTGCTTTATTGTAGGAATGGAGACTTTTGATTTACTAATAGGTGATTAAAAAAAACAAAAACCAACAGGTTCTTAGAACTCCAGTTTCCAGGAGTCATGTTCAAATCATAACGTGCCCAGGTATAAAGAACCTTCTCCAAAGAGACATTGTATAATTTTATCTTCTTCAGCTTTGATAAATTTGCACATGTCCTTACATCAACTCCAATTTTATTTTTTTTCTTTTTGCCTCAATGTATGCTTTACTACTCTGCTGTAATTAATAGTATTAACACTAATTACAACACATAAACCTGATAATTTCTACTAGAAGCAAGGAACAGTCACATATTTGACAGCCACTGTGCTTTGACATATATTAATTATGCTTTATATTCATATTTAACAGCATTAAAATCTCACTAATATGTAATTTTAAAATGCTAATCATCTTACTTTTGTGTAAGATAGATCAAGGCAAAGTTGTAGCTGACTATTTGCAGGTGGCTGGAATCTCTAATAATTATAAGGAACCAGAGTGACAAGTCCCGCTTATAGAAATCAAGTCAAAATAAATGCAAAATAAGAAAAAAATATGACTTTGAGAATTGTTGCTTGTAATACTAGTTCTGGAAGCATAATTTGCTGCTAAAGTGATAAGGTAGACTCATGGATACACTGCATGATATATGGCTGTGCTGAAGTAAATATTTGGAAATTATCATTTTTTTCTAGTGTTTCTTTTGGGAAGAGAAGTTACCCAAATAATCTTTTAAACTGAGAAAATATTTCGTTGATTCTTTTTTAGTTTAGGAACCAAAGCATTGTGACTGAATACTCTTTCTCACTCTTTAAAGGCTTTTACGCTCTCAAAAGAAAAATTTTTCTGCCTTGTATCTGAGAAAAGATTAAAAAAAAAACAAAAAAAAACCTGAAAAGAGTTTACAAGTGTCGGAACCATATCACAGAAGTAAAGTACAGAGGCAATAGTCAGCACACTGGTGCAATCATTCTTAAATATATGTAGTTAAATTAATTGGATCAGAATCAAATGTGGTGCATAGAGTGAACTTGGAATGAGTAAAGGAATTCCTCAACTTTTTGTACTGTTTTTACTGAAAAAGAAGTCCAATTCTCCAAAAACCAGGCTCAGAAAAGGAAATGCTCTGAGCATTATCTGGCATGCAACAATGGATGTGATCCAGCAGTAGGGCTATGGAACATGCATTTGTTTCAGATTTCTACAAAGCTCTGAAAACTGCTCAAGAAGTTGCAATGGAAACTAAGAGCATTTAACAAAAGAAATCAAAAAGACAAAAAATGCTTAATAGCATAAATCATTTTTAAATACTTCATCACTCAATCATCTGTCCCCATACTCACAAAGTAGCCTAATGACCTTTTACAAAGAATGTACAGTGAATATTGTTATTAAAATATACAGTAATGACCTCAGCATAGTCATGGGAATATATTAGCATTAGACTGATGATTTAAAGGTGAAAGGAACTTCAAAAAATACATTTGGATGTTAAAGAACAAGATAAGGGGAACGTGTAGTAAAGTGCTAGAACAATAATCTGAACCATATTAAATTTAGGCTTATGCAGACACACAATCTAAGAAGGTAAATTGCAGTTCATTCACTGACAAATGTTCAGATGAGAAATTTTTTGGAAAGAAGGGCATCCAGCTTAGATGTTTGGAAGAGATCACTTTATCAGGCTCTAGAGTCTTTAATCATTTATTTTATATGTGCAGTGTGTAGAATTGCAAACTCATGTTTGTTTTTATATTGAAAATACTCCCTTATCTGTTCTGTTCTTAACACACTTCTCAGCTGTTAGATCCATTTGAGTTTTTGTAATTTTTCTGTTCTTTTCAAGCTGCTAAGAGGAGAATTTCCTCTCTGTATTTGCTTTGATTGATTTTTTATTAAGAAATGTAATCAGAGTGGTTTGGATGCGTACCAGAAAGTTAGTTTATAAGAACTCAAGAACTGATGAGGAGCTGCTTTCAATAAATAATGATAACAACCAATGGTCACGATCCAATCCTTGTGCTCTGAAACTAGCATTGGTATTTGTCTCTTCCAAATACAATGTTTGAGCACTGAGCTATTTGCTTTAAGATTGATTTTTATTCAAGGAGCAGAGGCATAACTGGACCACATTGCAACAGAATTCATCTGGCACATACTGTGTAATGAGAGAAGTTGGGCCTTCCACTCCTCTAGTGAGGAACTTGTACTCCGTGTTCTGCTTCCTGGTGTCTATTAGCTATTCAGTTCATTGCCACATAGACAGATGAGTCATTTTCATTTATGTCACCAAGTAGCAGTAGACTTGTCCCCATGTCCAAATTTAAGCTCTAATGAATGAGTCAGTAAGATAGTTGTCTCTGTCTGATGCCCTCCATAATCCTGCAGTATCATATCTGAATATCTGCATAGCTTGAGGACAGGGTTGAAGAAAAGAGCCCACTTTCTGACAGAAGGGTGACAGGAAGAGGGATAGTCTGGATCTCCCTGGTATTTGCTGTGAGACTAAAGAGCTACACACAAACAGCACTATGTCATCTTTCTGAGGCATGCCTGGACTGTAGTCTGAGCATATCAATAGGATGTCAGGAGGATCATTGGACCAAAGATGAAGGCTCTGACAACAGTCAAATGTATCCTAGATGCGTCCTTCTGTGCCCTTGACAGAAATGTTTAAACTGAGCTGCTCTCATTTCCTGTGAGACATTCTAGGCAGCTTTGACACGTGTTGATTATTGTTTAATTCAGTTTTATTTTACTGTGCTGTCTACCAAAGTGTATTTTTTGTGGCTCTTTTGTCATTATCTTTTTGTTATAAGGAATTCTATATCTACTTTTTCTTTAGCTGGACAGTTTTTTTCTGGTTTTAAAGATGCACTGTGTTTGGCATTCACACAGTCAATGAAGAAAACCTGGAACATAACATAAGCTGCATAGTGGGTTTTATTTGTTTGGCATTCTAAGTATGCCACTTTGAAAGTTTGCTCTATAAGATCACAGCAGAACACAGCAACCTTCTGTATAACTTCATTTGTAAGACTTATTCTTCTCTATACCAGCACATCTGGAAAAATGATAGAATTGATGTGGTTTAAGATTGAATGATGTTCTCACACATGTTGGGTCCACTATAGACATAAATTCCCTTCTCTATCAAACTAAGAAGACATGAATAATTAGTTGAGAAGAAAAAGAAAAATGGCTGCTTGTTTTTTTAGAAGAGAGATTGCAAAAGCAAATACTCACTATAGGTTAAGTACACCAGAATGTCAATACTTGGAGTACTTCAGTACTGATGTGAGTGCAGCAAAAGAATATATATGGAGAGTAGAAGTAGCAATAGTTTTGATTACCATGCAGCTAAATATCATGGATTGTAAGAGAAAATCTCTGTAAGGTTTATGGAAGTATGGGAAGACAATACCACCTCTGACTACTCTACATTTAAAAAAAAAAAAAAAAAAAAAAAAAAAAGCCACCAAAAACTTAGAGAATGCAACTTTAACAGACTCATAAATAGAGCAACCAAAGACAAGCCATACTTGATTACCAGATTAGTAATCCAACTCCGCAATTTTATAGAAAATGGTATCTGGGTTACTGATAGCAGTGAGTTTGAAGTATTCTGTAATCAAACACAGAACATATTTTAAGAATTTGTTGTCAGTGCCTGCTGGGCAGAAAAACTCCTCTTCAGAAAAACTGTATGCAGACTTATTGCAAAGATTAGAATTGAAAGACAAAGTAAACATCAAGCAAGTGTTTTGTCTACTCAAGACCTCAACCACTCCATCTCTAGTTCCTGGAGCACACTTTTAGTTCTGCAGACTCTACTTTGAAGGAAAAAGTCATAAATAACTCTTAAGTTTAACTGAAGATTTTACAGTCATGAAGGACCTTAATGACAAATGCTTCTTGATTACTATTGTGTCATACCTACAGCTGAAAGCAGTTTGATTTCTCACTTTAATTCCCACAGCACATCATTTGCACTAAGTCATCACCCTAAATACATGGGCTGATTATACTGCTAATCAAATCAAACCTATTTCCCATCTTGGAGATCTGATTCTTCTTGTGTACAGTTCTGATACCTTGAGTTTCTTTGGGAAGAACTCTTCCATTTCTTTCTATCTTAGCACTGATGTTATTCTCTTCCTCCTCCTATTTCTCTAGAGAAACAGATCAATAAAAGCACATTTCTCTCAACTAAGCCCACATCCATTGCTTGTATTTGCAATTTCCCATTCACCAGTGTGTTGACGACACTTGTTCCTGGTGTTTTCCTTCTTGTTGGTTTCATTTTCCACACGGAATTTTTAAATAGCTTGTAACCATTTTGTTGATTGCGTGAGGCTTGGACTTGCATCCTGAGTGACTCAAAAGTAGCTTTATACAAGAATTCTAAGCAGGGATTTTCCCAGTCATAGCAGGTTTGTTTTTTCTTGAGTGCTGCTCCACCTGTTCACTTTTTATTATGGGGAAAAAAAATAAAATAAAAAAATTGTCCTTTTAAATGTCTTGCACTTTGTTAGTAATTAAACCTTACCATAACATTGATGCCATTTCTCCAACAGGCTGTTGGCTTTATGTTAGCACTCAAGAGGTGAGAAACAGTGACATTACACATTATGCTTCATGCTGATTGCATCTCTTGAACATGTGAAGTGCCTCTTGCAGCCAGTTCAACTCTAACAGTTCTGCAGTGAAGACATTAATGCCAGACTAGACTTTTTCCTTCAGCTTTTCTAGAAAGTCTTTCCATTCTGCAGTTGTGCCTCTTTACTTTTTATGCTGATTTGGCTGTGGCTGCAGCTCTACGGCTGTCTGCTTCTTATTCCCTTCCTTCTCCAGGTTTAACTTCAGGCACAGTATTTGAATCTTGCAAGTAGCTTTACTTCTTGCTCCAAGAATCCTGAATGCCACTTTGCTCCTAAAATAATAAATAGCAACATTCTCTAGTGTCTGCTTCTGGGTAGCTAATTTTGGGCTTCCCAGTCCTTGTCTATCTGAGCCAAGAGGCTCTGCACAGAGCAAGCTAAAAAAGCCTTTCCAGTGAGATTTTGAGAATCCACCTTCATCTGTTAATATGCTGCTCCCTTCAGTGGCAGAATCCAGAAAGTATATTTCCGATGTGAGGATGTTCTTGTGTTTATGCATCCCATTCTTTTGACTTTTTAATGGCAAATTACTGATTGAATGAGAATGCACATCTCATGCCTGTTCAGTACAGTGTTATACATACCTATAGTTAGCTGTTACAGATAATTTACATGCATTGTAGGTAATATAATCACTCTTAATACCTGGGGCAGCACTGATATCCAGTACCTGTTACTGAAAGTTCTCCTTAGCAGAGACCCTTTCCTGTTACACATCCAAGGTCATGCAAGTCCTTGTTGACCTCACAACCTCTCTAACAAAAACACTATGGAACAGAGATAAGAATCTTCACCGCCTGCTGAACACAGTTTGGCATTGATTTTATAGCTTATCCTTGCTACCTTCATATTAGGAACAAACCAACTCATCTATTTTTTCTATTATGTTATCATTCAGCAGCTTCTCATATTTGTGCTATTTGCACAGGTTCTCATCATTAATCTTTGCTTCTTTGTGATGACTCATTGCCAGCTTTTGTTTGTTTTGCCACTAAATAAACTTTAATGCACTCGATAAATATATGAAATATTCTGAAATGAATTTTAAAAAAGACCAGTCATACAAAGATTCCCTGAAAGTATATAGAATGCTGTTGTGAAGTAACTTATTGAATCCTCACATTATCTTGTAAAGACTTTTTTGTCCTTAGGAAAGTCCTTTATGCCACCTTTACAGAAGGCTTGATTTCCTTCACCTGGAGAAATGTTACTTTTTCATGTTTCTTGAACCCACTGATCTGCTGTTGTTCTCTAGAGATCAGACAGAAATTTTCCAATAGTTCTGCACTAAGCTCAGTCTGTTTCCATAGTATCCATAAGAACAAAAGATATGTAACTGTGTCATAATTTTAAAAAGAAAAATGATCCTAGATATTGGATGAACTTTGTATTTTCATCTGATAAGTCACAACAGACCATAGAAAATCCTTCTTATTATTATCTAGGCAGTAGCCACTCTCCAGTTTAAAAGGTTTATAGCTCTGAGGAAATACTTTGCCTTGCTCATAGAAATAATATGTGGTTGAGGTTCAGGAGCCATCCACTGGCTTAAGTTACCTATATGTCCATTTCAGAGATCTGTTAGGGGTTGAGAAATATATCATTTATTCATCGCCGAGAAAAGGACCAAAATGAATTCGTAGTGTCCATTGTCTATAATTAATTAGATCCTTCATACCTTGAGATAAGCTGCCTTGATTCTCAGTCAGAAAGCCTGAAGCAAGTCTATTTTTCATACACAGACAACTCATATATTAAAGTGTTTGTAGGCAGGACCTTGGCAAGACAGGTATTGGCTTGTGTTCAGGTTTTCTTTGTTTTGTGTCTTATGTGTAGGTGGCTGATTACAGCAATCTCATACAGGAGTTCTATCATTTTTGTATCTACATGCAGCAAATGGCAGGAAGGCACGTTCATCCCTGAGCTCTCAGTAGGGAATTCTTCGTATGCATAATTTTCTAAGTCCACAGATGGCTGTGCAGTAGTATTAGCAAAGTGCCACTTCTCTGCAATAAGTCTTGTAGGAGAGCCTGAGCTAAACATACTGATGCTCTTTCTGTCATGAAGTTTCTATTAAACCTGTTGGCTGCAACACTGTTATGTGACTTGAAGTACCTCCAAAGCTCCTTCATTTGAGAGTCTGCATTCTTTGAAAAACTTAAATACGTATTTCTAAAGTTGCATTTCTGTCCATTTCACTGTAATTAGCAAATACATATGAATCTAACATGCATGAGTGAAATATTAATCTATTTGTTAAAAACACGCAACAAAGTATTAAGAGTATTTCTTTCAGCTAGCTACTGTACAATAAAACAGAAGTCAATATGCTCTCTCCTGAGCTCCCTCAGACCTGACCACAGTAGACAGCCCTTCCAGTGTGTTTGCTGTCTATTTATCAGTCACATTTTCCCAGAACCTGAAGGCAGTCTCACTTTTGCATTGTAACAGATTGTATCACTTCAATATTCACTGGGCATGCCAAAACGTATTTCTCCTTTTCAGAAATAAATACTTCATTTCTTCCGCAACAATGAGTGCAAATGTGATTATAGAAATGCTGATACAGTTCGATACAGTTCTGAGAATGCCCAGAGTAACAGCCTCTTGTAATAAGAGCAGTTCCTTGCTGAACTTCCAAGCAGATGCTGGGGTTTAGGCAGATAGATTGCTATACATTAATCAGTATAGGTGTGTATATCTCTGGGAGCTAGAATTGAGTGCTCACTTGGAATTAATTTCCTGCAATACCTTGAGTGAAAGAACTCAATTTTTTTCTTTCTACATCACTGATTGCTCTTGGAGATGGTGTACATTCATTTCTAAGGTGAAAATAAATATCACTTCCACACATGCCTTGCCCAATATGCTGGCAATAGTAGGCTGCATGGCTATAAGTACAGTATCAGCACAGCAGAGGGAAAGCAACACTCATCCATTTGTATGATAACTGAGAACAGCAAAGGTTTCCATATAAATAACATCAAAACCAGCATTAGAAATGCTGCGTTGCCTCTGCCATACTTGCATAAGAGGAACAAAAGACAAGAGGGAGGTAACAGCAAAACTTCTCCAAAAGCAGTCTCTGTCATGATGCAAGGCTCTTTTAGCATGCTGATGGGCCTCTGAGCTGACCATTTTCTGTCTCCAATTGTTACTACCACCTATTTTGTTCCTGCAAATATTGGTGCAACTCTTAATCCCTTTTAGTTGGAAAAAGAAAAATCACAATATGTCAATGTAATAAGAAAGTGCCCATGTGAGAGAAGCATACCTGCTTCTCTAATGCCTCTTTTAATAATGTGATAGCAAGTCTAATTATTAGACTTGCTATCTGCCATTTTTGATTAACAGATCTTAATCAATCTGAGGGTCTTTGGCTTTCCTTTGGAAATAGGCAGCAGAAAGTCAGCATAATGGTACAATGTGATGGAAGTACAGCCATAATAGCAAGGTGGTAAAGTCTTTGGCTGCAACAGATAAGGACCAGCCCAAATACAGCAGCTATACATGCAGAAACAAAGGAGAAAAACAAACAAACCCAAAAAACCCTTACCTTTGAAAGGCATCTGATACACAGGAATCTCAAGCAAAATACCCTTGTGTCCACTGCCAATTCTTAAATGAGGTCTGGGAAGGGAAGGATCCTGGCTGCACCCCTTCCAGTCACTCAGAAGCATTGCTTGCACCTGAGCTCCTTTGGGTTGGCCCTGCCTTCCCACCAGGTGTTCAACCACTGGTTCAAGCCCTGACTTAGCATTTCTGCTGCAGTCAGATATTCAGATGAATGGAAGGGGTGAAGGGGGGAGATCTACCTTGAGAAAACTTCTTGGGAATGTTTTTGTTGAAAATAAGAATAATCTTAGTCAAAAGTTAAAACCAAGGGAGCTGATCTGCAATGAACCTAAGATCATGGAAGCACTTTTTGGTGATTGCACAATCATACACAATTGTGAGCCTTTGATGGTAGAAGAACCTCAGAGAATCTTTTAAAATATGTAATATTTAAAGTCATATATTTTCTGGATAAGAAATTCCTTTTAATGAAACATGTCATCAGACCTCCTCACGTTAGATTTCAAGTAGAATCTTTCAGAAATTGCAAGCTCAGGGATGAGCCTGACCATCTGAGTGGTGGTCAGTGTGCCCTTTTGGAAGAGGCCTCCATTCAAATTGTTCCCTCTGACTTGCGTCTTCCCAGTGTTCTGCCTGTTTTGAGCTGTATGTATGAGCTGAGACCACTATCCTAGAACTGAGAAACCCTCTTAAGGGAAATGTCAGTGAACTCTGTTCTTATAACCCAATATTTAATTATGAAGAATTGCTATTTGCTGCCCAAATTCTCACAGCTTTAATCAGTTTCACTCTCAGAATAGCTGAATGCAGCTCCCATTTACATTATCAATTGGTATTTCTCCAGGAAAACCCAGGCATATGGCAAAACTCCTGCCGCCTGTAAGGTGGCAGGAGCCACCATGACTACTTCTCAGCTGCTTCCTGCCCTCCTGCCCTCATGCCTCAGTGCATGGCTGTGGCTACAGCTCAGACCTCGCTTTCTCTGATCAAACCACACACCATGGTGCTGCTGGCTTTGCCTTTCAGAAATTAACTTTTCAATCCCCCAGCAAGTTGCAGAGCTGAGTCATGAGGGATGTACTTTCCTAAGGATGATGCTATGCAAGCAGATTGCTCTTGGTAGAATACTGAAATACTCAGCTGGTTTAGAAATGTAGCTTCTGACAAGAGTTTCATGTTCTTTCTCTAAGGTTTGCAGCAGTTTACAGCTGGCACTCATTTCTCACTACCAGCTAAACACAAACCTGGGCAGGCTTCTGTGCCATGCTCTGGAGAGCATGCTGGAGAGGGACCTGAGTTTTAGAATGCTCTGTACGTTTACACAGCCTAGAACCAAAACACAGACCTGTTCACATTTGAGATCCAAATATTATTTTACACAAAGTAAAACCAGCCTTTGTGGCTTTCCATACTGCAAAGACAACTGATTTCTCTTGTTCAAATGAGAGAGCAAGAAGAGAAACTGTAGGAAAGCAGACAGAGATTAGGTTTTGGTCATTCATTGAAAGATTTTAAACACATTAAGCAAGAAAGTAAGGAGGAAATTTACACTAAACATTACCAAAAAGAAAAAAAAAGGGTGCATGTGCAATAAGCTATCAGACATGGACTTGTAGAATCACAGAAGGACTCAAGTTGGTAGGGATCTTAAGGTCCACCCAGCTCCCACCCCCTGCCATGATCAGGCTGTACAGTCAACCTGGCCTTGAATGCCTCCAGGAATGGGGTATTCACAGCCTTCTCTGGGCAGCCTGTGCCAGTGTCAGATCACCCTTTCTGTGTAAAGTATTTCTTCCTAACATCCAAGGTAAATCTCTATTCTTTTAGTTTAAAGCATTCTCCATTGTCCAACCACTATCAGACCATGTAAAAGTCATTCTCATCTACCATAGCTCTCTCTTCCACCCTCCTTCCATCACCTACCACTTTCTGGCTGAGCTGAGACACTGGGCCAGCTCTGAGCAGAGCAGACAAGTACTACACAGGCCAGGGTTTATCAGCATATGAGAAGGTGCTGCTGAGAGCATCTCGGCTGGCTGGGGCTGTGAGCTGTGTAGGAGAACAGCTCCTCCCAGGAGCTCGTCAGTATGATGCATCCTGAAGTTCCCACAGCTGGAATAGGGGACCAGCTCCAAGACCCTAAGCAAATGAAGCTTCATTGAGACCTAGCTTTCTCCCAGTGCAGTCTGCCAAGATTGTGCTGTCAAGATATGGAGTATCACTGCTCTTGTGGAACTCCTTTCCTTCATTCAGCTGCAGGAGGTTTTTTGCAGAATTTTCTGGGGAAAATGCCAAAATGCAATGTTTGTACCTTTCCTCATTGCATTTCGGTGTGACATCTGCAAGAGCATTCTTCCAAGGCATTCATGTCTGTTTGCTAAACTATAATCCTGGCTTTAATTCTTTCTTCTTTTCCTCAGTCATTAGTTCAAGTCTGAAAGCGCATCTGTCCTTGTTCACGTTAGTCATCCTCCACTCACAGTCCAAACTTTGGGTTGTGTGTGTGGAGATGAGGACACAAAGTGGCATTGTCTATATACTTGCTAATGAATAGTCCAAATGACAGATCCCCTGTCATGCTCATCTGCCCAGTCTGCACCCCCATGCCCCACTACAGCAAAAGTAAAAATCAATCCCTTCAGTTTTGCTGTCCGAAGATATTCATGTCCTATGATATTTAATGTGTTCGCCTTGCTTTATCCTTACCTTCATCATCTTCTTTAACTGCTTTCAGCTAAAACCATGACTTCATGAGCACAGACCCCGTGATACAAGCTGGACTGAAGTGTAGGAGTTGGGGTCAGACACAGAGAGCCAGCCCTGCCTGCCCCAACACTGGTGTCCTACTTACAGAGGGCAGAACAGGACTGACAAAGAGAAAAATTTACTCTGTTCTCATTTTGATTAATTTGTCTTTTATTGTCTTTGCTAACAAAGTCTATCTCTGTCCTTACAGCGTCATGGTGAGTGTGTTTATATGCGGCCTCTAATTTGTTCCCGTTTATAATTGAAAATCCACCTCAATATTCAGTTCAACCAACATGAATCACATCATATCCTATGGCAGATATTACTGGATCTGGCAGCAGCAAAATACTGTTTTTGGAAAAATACTTAACCTCACTTAACCTCAAAACACTTCTATCTTCCTGCTGCATTGAAGGTATCCTCTATATAGAAAGTGATTCTTAACTATATTGATGTATTTTGACATTAGAGATCCAAAGAAAAGTTAATTAAAAAAGATAAAAACCAAAACTCAATCTCTAAGATTCCCAGATATGAATGACATTAAGTTTCACATTGGCAGAAAAAAATATAAACAGGTAGAGTTCATAGAGTTCATAGACAGCTTGTGAAATTTGTTGTCTCAAAGTATATGAAGGGCCATTTCAATAGCTTAGTGAAAAGGAATTTCTGCAGCAGGTTAGATGTAGACCCAGGAAAGGGCTGTTGTTATATGCAGCAGCCTTGTGAACTTCATGTTAAGTTAACCAGGAAATGTCCAGGCCCATGAACAATGACACGACAGCTCACAGGGAATTAGGCAGATACAGGGCAGCCAGGTTGCATTTTTTGCACTGCCACTTGAGGCCTTGGAGTAAGAATGGAAATCTTCCACAGAGCAACAGCAACGCAGATTAAATTGAAAGTCCTTAATCTCACGAACAAGTGAAAAGAAGTTTCATTTAGGTAACATGTTAATCTAGTTATTCATATGTACTTCTATAAAAAAGGGAACTGGGGACACAATGAATATCTCTACAATGCAATGTGTGTCATTTTTATTTCACACGAAACTCACGCCTGAGTTTGTCACTAGTTACTCTATCTACGTACACAACACAGAAGGAACCTTTTAGACTTAAAACATAGGCAAAGGCCAGTCCTGGACTTAGATACTTAGGACTTAGTTCTGGACACCTAATTGTGCGACCTGGTTTAGGGAACCTGCTTTGGCAGGGAGGTTGGACTTGATGATCTCTGGAGGTCCCTTCCAACCGCTACGATTCTGTGATTCTGTGATTCTGTGCTATCCATTATCTAAGATAAGGCTCTTCAGCTGCTTTCACAACTTGCCTCAGACTAAGTTGATGTGCTGAAAATTTCTGAAGGATGGTAGTACTGGTACAAAGAATACGACAAACAGCATCCTATTAGGACAGACAAATCAGTGTGTAGAAGAAAACTTGACTGATATATCCATTATAATGTGAAAGCCATTTTGAGAAGTAAAATTAATCGTAAACATTTGGCTTTAATGACAATGTGCATTAACATTTTGAGCACTAAGTTAGTTTAAAGTAAGGTCTTAAGTTTTAAGAAATATCTTTGAGAGTTCCCTTGATTATATATGAACTTGAGCTGGTAATTTTATCACACAAACGAATTTCTGGCTTTTTTTATTGCACAAATAAGGGCATGATGTATGGGAACTGCTGAATCACGTCCTGAACCTCTGATTGATCACGTGAGAATAAATTAGAGAAAAGGGGAAAGAGTAAGGGAGGGTAGAAGGAAGGAACCAAGGAAGGAAGCAAGCCTTAAGTTTCTAAACCTCTGAATGATGTATGATTTGGCCACTGATTAGAGCGCAAGAAGCTGGTGGGAAGGTGCGTGTACATTCTTGTACTCTGATCACTTCCAGGCATTCCCTCTGGCCATTTGTACTGGTGTCACTTGCTGTCTGCAGTGTTGCTTAGGGATTTTTCTGGCAAAGTATAGCTGGGGCACATAATAGGGAAATGATCTTCAAACCAATAAACGTTCGTAGTGGAAATCCAACATTTATCCAGAAATAAAATAAAAGCTTGAATGGATTGTAGCTTGGAAACAAACCAGGGCTTTGGATATCTGACAGAGGCCTAGAAATTATACATTCATATGAGCTACTGCATGACTATTTCTGAAAATGAATGCTTCAGAACATTGCAGCCTACAACATATACCTAGAGATTAAACTCCACAGTAAATGACTTATTGTGCATTATTCACCCAGAATTTCAAAGCAGCAGTTTAGAACTGTTTATAAAAGAA